CAAATGTAATAATTATAAAAATACATATATATAGAAATAAATAATACTTGGTAAGTAATCGTGGTCGCGTAGTGCATCAATACCATTGAAAGCCATATTCGCTGAGTTGGTCCTTTAAGTGAAGTTAAGTTTTAGAAAATTAATAAATAATTAAAGATCAAGAAAACGAATAAATAATTAATGTATTTTAACAGGCTGTCACACGAACTGATATTAAATTATTATTTGGAATATTTACTTTTGTTTTGGTTGGTATGAGATACTATTTGATATGCTCGTTTTTCTTTTTCTTATCATTTTTAGGAGAACGGCTTTTGGCCCCACTAGGACATCCAGTTACTCGGCTTCGCGGACGCGTCAATTAAAGGTTATGCGGCCGTCATTTATTGGCGCATTGTCGACACTGTCGGCAACATTTCTGTGAAATTCATCACCAGCAAAACGAAGGTTGCCCCCCTGAAGAGCTCTGCCGCCGACGAATCGTTATCTATACCGCGCCTAGAGCTGTGCGGCGCCCTGCTACTCGCGCGCACGCTTCATCACGTGCACTCCGTAGTGTCCAGCGAAATTTCCGTATCACGTTTGCGAGCGTGGTCGGACTCATCGGTGGTTTTGTCATGGTTGACGTCAGACCAAAAACATTTCCGGATTTTTGCAACTAACCGGGTTGCCAAAATAAGTCAATTGGTACCTAGCTGTAGTTGGAACTACGTATCAACGAACGACAACCCCGCTGACCCAGCATCTCGCGGACTTTTACCGAAGTCGATGTTGTCCTCGTCCATCTACTGGAACGGTCCCGAATTCCTACGTCTTCCTGAAGACCAATGGCCACAATCGAAATTTATTCCGCTCGCTCCGGAGCAGCTGCCGGACACTCGGCCTAACGTCGTCGCAACATTGGCCGTCAACACTCAATCGTCATCATTGGACTTCATCAGTCGTTTTTCGTCGCTTGACAAAATGCTACGAGTATTGTCGTACGTCTCCCGTTATTTGTCTCATCGTTTACGACGACAGCCGATCCGTGTCGGCCCCATCACGTTCGCCGAGCGACAAGCGTCGTTATCGATCATCGTACAGCGTACACAACAACGTTGTTTTGCCGATTTAATCAAAATGTTAAAAAATCAATCCACGATTTCGCCGCCGTCCTTGGCACAACTGGCGCCCTACGTCGACGAGAAGGGTATCATCCGAGTCGGGGGCCGTCTGCGCTTTTCCGATGCCAGTCATGACGCGAAGCACCCGAATTTGCTGCCGCGATCTTCGCACCTCACCGAGCTGATCATCCGCCATTATCACTTGTCATTTTTGCACGGCGGCTCCAAATTGACACTGTCTATGTTACGTCAAAAGTTTTGGATCTTATCTGCCCGCGCTGCAGATCGTCGTACCATTTTTTCGTGCGTCCCGTGCACACGCCACAAGGCTGTCCGCCCTCAACCGTTTATGGCTGACTTACCGTCCTACCGAGTTCAACCTCATCGTCCGTTCTCACACGTCGGCATGGACTACGGAGGGCCGTTCCTCGTTAAGGAACACCGTCGTCGAAATGCACATTCGGTCAAGGTCTACCTCGCCTTATTCATTTGTATGTCCATCAAGGTGGTCCACCTCGAAATCGTATCAGACCTCAGCACTGACGCCTTCCTCGCAGCTTTGGACCGGTTCGTTGCCCGCCGTGGAATTCCGTCATCGAGGGCATCGAGGGCATTCTAAACTCCAGACCGGTCACGCCGATTTCATCCGACCCTCATGATTTGAAAGCATTAACGCCAGGACACTTCCTGATTGGGCAGCCGATCCATGCCATGCCCGAACCAGACACCACCCACGTTCAAATAAACCGACTGAATCGATGGCAACTCATCCGTCAGTGTCATCAGTCATTTTGGAAAAGGTGTTCAGCGAATACTTGTCTACACTTCAGAGTCGACCAAAATGGTTCAAGTCGTCCCAGAACTTGTCGATCGGTGACATGGTCATCGTTGAAGCCCCGTCTCGACCACCAACCGAGTGGCGTCTCGACCGTGTCACAGAGGTCCATCCCGGATCCGATGATGTCGTGCGCGTCGTGTTCGTGCGCACTCAGGACGGCGTCTACAAGCGCCCGGTTGTGAAACTCGTACGGCCACCTGTCGAGCCCTGACTCATGTCCTCATGTCCTCATGTCCTCATGCCCTCATGCCCTCATTGTATATATTATTATTATTTTTTCGTGCATCAGTCACATTTGTTTATGTTAATTATGTTATCTATGTATTTAGATAGAGCTCCGTATTTTTTTGTATTGTGTACGACCTGAAATTCAAACTCAATGTTCAAGTTTGGTGATTTTTTGAAAGACCCTGGGTCTTTCAACGCGGGGAGGAAATGTTGGGTACACATTGTAATTCGAATTTGCGCGCGGTGTATCCGTCATGTCCCGTGTCGCAGCGTTTGCTACACTGAAGCGCACCGCATAGTCAACCTTTGTACCTCCAGAGTGGGGACGGTCTCGCCGCAGTCGAGACTCCAGAAAATGTACCCGTCTGCCTCCGCCGTCGTCATTTTCGAGCCGTCTAAGGCAACTGTCGCGTCTCCGCCGTCTTGGCAAATTTCGGGTTAAAACCACATGTTGTAACCAACGCGACCCGGTGCGCCGTCGCCGTCAATACAGTCCATGTTGTTCCGTGCACCCGAGCCTCATCAACTCGTTGAGTTTCGGCTCAGTCACAAAACCACGGCTTATTGTTATTTTTCTCGTCGCCCGCCCGTTTCTAACGCAGTGGTCCTCACGTGTCTACACGTTTACCGTTCGCTCGTCGGTTTCGTCATTTGAATCCGTCGGTTCCTTCTGTGTGCGTCGCATTTACGCCGCGTCGCCACCGAAGTATTTGTGCGATCATTCGTTCAGAATATCGTAATTTTGTCGCCCGCCCGACTATCGTCACCTTTGTTGAATTAGTAGGTGATTGTCCGGATGAAGATGGGCTAGAATTTTCAGACTATGTATTAAATAATTATATACAACCAAATTGTATATTTCCCACTAATATATGGGCTGAAGAACCTTCAATAAATAAAAGGTATCAAATTCTTATAAATTATAAGAACAATTTGGAAGTATTCTTGTACGATATAACTTTAAAGTTTATGTTCTATACATAAAAATAAAGTGTCATAAAATATTTAGATTATTATTAATTCCGTAATTTTTACGTATTTTAATGTCAGAACAACAAATGGTCCAGAGAGTTTCCACAGAACTTTTAACGCTCAATTCTATAACTCACATCCACCAATATACTTTGTGCTTGAGGCATTGAAAGAAATACAGGCTGAAACCAATATAAAAATATCCACTATACAAAAGAATATATCCAAAGCTATTCCATCTAAAGATATGCAAAAAATTAACCATGTTATAAAACTATACGACAAATTTAAAATAGATGGTAATATGTTACATTTTTTATCAGGGACTGGTTATCGATACCAAGGTTTAAATTTATAACTTATAATTTGTATTTTGTATAATTTAAGTTTTTAGTTGACTATAATTACCAACGTTTTAATTTATAGCTTATGTGTATTATTTTTGTATTTTATATACCCAAATATTTTATATTGTTTTTAATTGACTATAATATTATAATAATGATTTTTTTTAATTATATTATTATTATTTTTAATTTAATTTAATAGTACATGTTGGCAACGTTGCACTCATTTTCGTACGCAATCGTAATGTTTTTAAGGCCTAGGTAGAGAAATCGTACGCAATCGTAAAAATGTACGCAATCGTTTTACTAAAAGGGACAATCGTACGCAATCGTATATCACCGATAGCCACCGTCTGAATTTATTGGTGTCTAGCAGGTCAGTCATCTACGTTATCCGAGTAGGTAACGTGTGACCGGTACAGCGTCCATTACAGTCACCGACAACGCAAAATTAAGTTATGAATTATGTGAAAAAAAATTCAAAACATATCTTAAGCAATCCGACTACCGAGTCACCTTCCTCGACGTCGTTACTTCAAAATTTAGGTCTACGATTTTATAATTATTTATTATTACTAACAATTAGTTATTACCTACTTACACCACAGATGAAATATCTATTGGATTTTAACCAAAAAAAAACAGAAAAAATCTCTACATCAAAATAAAGGTTTCGGTTTCTTTTCTTAAAACAATGTATTTAATTGTTCCGGTCCGGTTTCGGTCCTAAGATTTTCAAAAGGTTTCGGTCCAATACCGGTCAATTTCGGTACGGTTCCAGTCCCTGTTATGAACTAATAAATGCATACATATCAATATAATATTACAGTTGTCAGGTGAGTTGATTGGTTGAGGTAATCAAATAGCCACTTTCTTATTTTGGTAATTAATAATTTAATGTAGCATACAAATACTGCTACAGTTTCTATATAATATTTATTATTATATTAATAAATAAAAAGATCTTTATATATTTTAGTAAAGTTTGTAGGTAGTTTGTAAAGTTATTTAATATTTGTATAATATTTTCTATACTATTTGATATTACTTACATATATGATATATAGTTGTACCTACCATGTATATTTATTTAATTATGAGAATTAAATCAAATTAATAAATAGATTATTTTATTGATGAATAGCAAATTTGATTGACCTAAAAAATACTGTCCTATTAAACGTAGGTATGTATAAATGTATACACTATACAATGCATATGGTTTGTATTTTTTGGCAATTATTTTACTGTCTACTGAGTAGGTCTACTATCATAATATTTTGCTGTTATATTGTATGACTGTAGCTGATCCCGTGCACTTCGTCGCCCTTTAAATGTATCAACTCAATATGACTCAAACTTTGTTCAATTCGTTATTCAATATTCGGTGTATGGTGTTCAAAATTTATCTTATCTTTTCCGTTGTCCGGAATAAAAATTCTGAATCGCAGCAGTACATTATCAGGTAGGCAATCTACCTGCGGTAGATCGCGGACCCCTTGCTGTTTGTGTATGATTTAACTCTAAAGTATCAAAGTTATACCAAGTTTATTTTGATATAATACGGTGGATTAATATAACAAATTTGGTTGCTCTTAAAAAAATTATGATTGTTGAACTCCTTTTGGGTGTAACTTGCTGCGGTAAGTGCAACTCAGCCACAATAGTAGGCAATGTTCAATAATTTGATTTGATGCAAGCTTGTACCTGATCTGCCCGAATAACCAATGGCAACCCATAAATAAATGCTAATTTCTAATGTAGACTGTAACCAATGGCAACTATTAATAAATAAAAATAAAATTTCCAATTTCCATCTTGAATCTCAATGTACCTGTTTGAGCACCTATTTAAAATGCGAATTTCGAAAAATCCTTTCTTAGCGCACGTCTACATCATAATAGCTATCTGTATGCCAAATTTCAGCCAGATCCGTCCAATGGTTTGAGCTGTGTGTTGATAGCAGTCAATCAGCTTACTGTTTTATATATACAGATTATTATGTACCGACCAATTTATTTAATGTCATATGATATTTATGATAGTTTAAATTATTTAGTAATTATAATTGCACATTTATAATGGTGCATCACTGTGTTATGACTTATCTGTTATGTGTATGCAAGTGTGTATGAATGTAGTTTATATTGTACACTTAATAGGTACATCTATGGGTATAATAATAGTAATAATACATCTATATTATAATACATAAGTCATATGTAAGTACATAATATATAGTATCAATTTGTTATTCATCATTTATTAATTATGTATTTGTTTTATTGATTTGAAACTCATGTAAATATACATGATAGCCCTACCTATATTTTGAGTAATATCTAATTATGTCATATCATTATACAATTTAACTGCCAGAATTTAATTAAATACATAATATAGTTAGTAATTTTTTGTTTATTAATACACATAATTTGACTCACCTAAAAACTGTAATATATTAAGTAGTACCTAGTATACCTACATGTAGGTTAGTTATATTACTATTGTCTATTCATGTAGGTATAAGGGAGAGCGCACACCAAAGCAGTGCGGTTGCAGTGCGGCGGCGGCAGTAGCGCGCGAAAAACACTGCGTCCGCACCGCAAAAGCGCGCCAACGCACACCAATGCAGTGCGGCAGCGGCGCAATCTGTTTTATTTTTATTTTTAACTATTTTTACTATTTTGATTAACAGTGATTACTGATTAGTAGTTAGTACCTAGTGATTAGTGTTTTTGATTAAACATTTTTATATTTGTTTTGTTTATTTTATTTTATTTCAATACTATTAAAATTGTAAATATTTAAAATATTAAAATATAAAATGTCAAGTACTGATGAAGACTTATTGGTGTTGTTGTTATTAAACAACAACAACAATAATAATGATAGTCAAAAACGTAAACGCAAGTATTGGGTGCATCCATACTTAAAGAAAAACGCAGACACTCTAGGAACTTTTTCTGTTGCAAAAGAGCTTTCTCTATATCCTGAAAAATTTCAAACTTTTTATAGAATGACACAGAAATCATTTGAAATCTTATCAGAGTTAGTGCGGCCTATGTTACATAAAAAAGATACTCACTTCAGAAAAGCCATTACTGTGGAAGAACGGTTATTGATTACATTGAGGTAAGTATTTAATAGTTTTATTGTTCAGCCATTTGAATAAAAATATATTAATGTTTCAAAATGTGTCATCTTGTAACTTGTTGCATTCTAACTTGAAAGGGTTGCAAAGGAACAAAATCAGAAAATGTTTTCCCTCATGATACCTATCCTTATATAAGTTTGAATAGTACCTGCAATCACATCTGTTTATTACTTACTAAATAGTGCCTACAACTTTTATCTCTAAAAAAGTATTTGTATAATTATATGTAGTGTCTTATTAGTTATTGTCTTCTTTCTACAATACATTTCTAAACAAATTATTGTAAGATAACATAAAACAATAATGTTTTATCAAAGTTGTATAGGTACTTTATTTATACAATTAACATAATATTAAACACCTTTTAATTTATTTTATTTTAACAATGATAATAATAATATATTAAACATAAATCATAAATGTATAAGTTACATTATAAAGGAGTCCAAATTGGGGCATGCGTTGCTGGTGGTTGATATTGAGTCATTGGGTCGATTTCATGTTTAT